AAAAAAAAAAAAAAAAAAGGTTACCTACTGTATGATTTCATTTATGTGATATTCTCAAAATGACAGATTATAGAGATGGAGAACAGATACGTGGTTGCCAGGAGTTAGGGACAGGGTAGGGGTACAACTGTAAAGACTATATGGAAGTTCCTTTGTGCTCTCAGAACAAGGTCCATACCTTGATCTTGGCGGTAGTTATGTAAATCTACACATATGATAAAACTGCATGGAACTACATGCACATACTCACAGAGACACACAAATGCATATAAAAATTGGTGAGATCTGAATGAGGTCTATGAATTGTAGCGATGTAAGAAAACTGAGAAAAATGTGTTAATTCGTTTAAAATAATAAACCCATCACAAGTTAACGTAAGTAACATTTTTTATGTATAATGTCTCTGTTTTTCCAAAAACAAAAGTATAGCAAGAAGAGTCACACTGGTTACATTTTTTGCAAATCTCTTTGATGTCCAGCTTGATAGAAGACAGCTGGATTCTTATAGCTGCTTCTGAATTCAGTTTGTTGTGTGTGATGAAAATACAGCCTCACACAGGTAGAGGAGGGAGCAGTATTTTAATTCAGATAATTGTCGATACTTTTTGATACTACCTCCAGCTCAGTAAGTGGTAGTTTCTAAAGGTTAGTTGGAAAGTGGACTCGGAAACACTGTCAGCTTTTCGTACTGTTTATATTTAAATCCACTGGTCCATCTTGGACTTTGAATGGATCATTTACTCATGCCTGAGGTTACAGAATCATTTGGGAAGTGTTGATTCGCAGAGTTTAGACCTTCTAACTGTTGACACGTGTCTGTGTATGGTATCAAACATCACGTTCGTTAACATCACAGCCAGTCTCAGTGGAAAAACCTACACGTATCGGGAAGCTGTCAGGCTCACGGAGGTGGATGCCAATTTTCCAAAATTCTAATTTCCTCATGAAAGTTTGAATTTTATCATTAGCAGCAAACTCAGTTTTCCTTAAAGTGACAGGTTCACTTTATTCATTCTCGACAAAGTATCTGTCAGCTCCCAAAGTCAGAATGACCGTAGTTTGTCTGTTGGCCGTTCTTTCAAGTGAAACTGACGGTCCGTGGAAGAAGTGGCCAGTTCAGCTCGGAACACGCGCTTCTCCTCAGTGCAGTCATTGAACTTGGGCACTTGGCAGAAGTGCTTTGGGTGGGTTCCCTGTTTTATCAGATAGGATATCAAAACGACACGTACTCGAAGATGGAGACTTAACAAAATTAACAACTTTGCTGCTTTTTTAATGACGTTCTTAAGTGAAACAGCGATTTCTGCTGGGAGTGCGTGGCAGTGAAGAGTTGGATTTCTGCTCGTAGTTTGCCACTGCCTTGAGCAGCGCCACCCCTACCCTGGATTTTGCACCATCAGTGCAACTGTTCACACAGTAAAAAAAAGGCAGATCATGTTTTGTATTGTTATGAAAGTAGTTTTGATCTCTTAGAACTCTAGGGGTCCACATACCACACTTTGAGAGTAACCTGAATAAATCTTAAACCAACCCGTCGGTGAAGGCGTCCCGAGTTCTGATTTACAAGCAGATATTCGTGGGTGACCCAGATCTCTGACCCCCTCTGTCGTGTCCCCTGCCCAGGATCGCCTGAAGGACCTGAACAGCCAGGCAGACAGCCTGATGACCAGCAGTGCCTTCGACACCTCCCAAGTGAAGGACAAGCGGGACACCATCAACGGCCGTTTCCAGAAGATCAAGAGCATGGCGGCCTCCCGGCGAGCCAGGCTGAACGAGTCCCACCGCCTGCACCAGTTCTTCCGGGACATGGACGACGAGGAGTCCTGGATCAAGTACGCGCCCCGCTCCGGGTGCCCTCGGAGCCTTTCACGGAGGGCGTCAGGAACCCCGGGCTTATCCTCTCCTGGACCGTGGTGGTGAGGTGGGAAGTGGGTCAGAAATGGCACGGACTCGGCAGCTGTGCCCGGCTGGTCCCAGCCTCACTGCACAGTCGCGGTGAGACGCGGTGATAGTGGTCGGCCACGGCCTCCACGTGGCGGTGTGTGTGATGGCGTCCAGGGCTTGTCTAGTCCCTGCCCTTAGGTCACTGGCAACATTAGTGAGTTCCCGTCTGGGAAAGATGGTCTGATCTCCTGGGGAAGATTGCTGCTTGCGGGAAGAAAAGTTCGTCTTGTTTGTTTTTATCTCCCCTCCCCCAGAATTTCAGTCTGCCTTTTCCAGATCATGTAGCCTATAAACAGACCATTTTTAAGGACAGGATCCTCTCAATTCACTGCCTTAAAACACTGTTTACGTTAGCATTTTCATACGTTACCGTGTAGGTATTGGCATATGAAAATTGGCACGTATGTATTTGATGAGGTAGGCTTGATAGGGCGACAGCAGTGGCACCTCCTTGTTCTCCAGTGCACCCGACCCTTTGCAGCGTCGGACACAGGAGGTGCTCCTGGAGACGTACGTGGACGCTGTTCATTGGGGAGGTAGAGGCTTTCTTCCTCAGGAGCCTAGCTTCTGAAGGGCTTTCCCGGAGAGATGGGTAGATGCAGGTGAAGGACGTCACGGGGTGCGCGAGCTTCACGCTCTTTGACTGCACGTCTCCAGCTGAAGCCATGCAGGTGCAGAGGCTGACCGCCCGCCCGTGCTGTCCAGGGAGAAGAAGCTGCTGGTGAGCTCGGAGGACTATGGCCGCGACCTGACGGGCGTCCAGAACCTGAGGAAGAAGCACAAACGTTTGGAGGCCGAACTGGCTGCCCACGAGCCGGCAATTCAGGTGAGGCGGGCCTCTCCCGGCCAAGCGGGCAGCGGGGCTTGAGCGGCCCAGGGGAGCCCGTCTCACTGCGGTCTCTACAGTGGTTATGGCCCCTCATCCCACAGCGGGGTGGAGAAGGCCCGAGTCTGATCTCGAGGTCCTCGCCTGGAAGCATCTGTTGACCCAGTCATTCTTGCCTGTCAGGGTGTCCTGGACACCGGAAAGAAGCTGTCGGATGACAACACCATCGGGAAGGAGGAGATAGAGCAGCGCCTGGCGCAGTTCGTGGAGCACTGGAAGGAGCTGAAGCGGCTGGCGGCCGCCCGGTGAGCACGGCGGAGGGGCAGTGCCAGGGCCCTCGTGCGCCCCTGGGGCCCTCTCCTCGGCCGTGCCAGCGCCGCGGTTGGCATGCTCTGACAGGCCCAGGCCGAGCTGGTCCCGTTACGTGAATCCGGACCGAGCATATGGTTCCAGGATCTCGTGTTGGACCAGCAGTCGCTGCTCTGTGTTAGGAAGAGGGCTCGAATGAACCGTTTAACGTCCCACACTCGTCATTCGTGTTTGTAAGCGTCCAGGTTAGAGGAGGTTATGGCTGATCTTATACTGTCCCCTGTGATTAGGGGCCAGCGGCTAGAAGAGTCCTTGGAATATCAGCAGTTTGTAGCCAACGTGGAGGAGGAGGAAGCCTGGATCAATGAGAAGATGACCCTGGTGGCCAGTGAAGATTATGGAGACACTCTTGCTGCCATCCAGGTCAGAGAAACTGGGCATGCTGCCTGCTGCTTCCCCCGCCCCCCCCAGCAGCCGCCTGCTCCACCCTTTTCCTGCCAGTTTGCTCGGTGGCCGTGCTCTTCCCAGGAGAGCACTCAGCCGGCAGCCGGCGTCTCGTTGGTGGGTCTCGGTCCTCAAGATCCCACGCGAGAGACGCTGCCCCTCTGTAGACAAAATTGGGGTGACTTTGTCAGCCCCAGTTCATGGAGTCCTGCTGTCAGCCCAGCAGTATGGTTGGTATCGTTAACCACAGGTTACTAGAACCCTGTTAGTTTCCTGTGGCTGCCTTAGCAAAGTACCACAAACTGAGTGGCTTTGAAGCAATAGAAACTTGTTTTGTCCTAGTTCGGGGAGCCAGAGCACTGTGATCAAGGTGTCGACAGGGCCTTGCTCTCTCCGAGGCTTCTAGGAGAGGACCCTTTCTTGCCTCTCCCAGCTTCTGGCAGCTGGGCTTGTGGCAGCGTAACTCGAACCTCTGCCTGTGCGTTCACATGGCTGTCTTCCCTCTGTGTCTTTGTGTTCCCGTGGCATTCTGTCTGGGTGTGTCTGTGTCCAGATTTCCCTCTTCTTATATATGTAGGACACCAGGCATACTGGATTTTAGGACCCACCCTGATGACCTGTCTTAACTTGATTGCACCTTCAGAGGACTCATTTCCACATTCTTAGGTGCTAAGGTTTGGACCCATATTATTGGGAGGACACAGTTCAACCCGTAACATATTTCCTAAATACATTGGTTACCTATTGCTGTGTCACAACCCTAAAAACAACAGTTTATTTCCCACAGTTCTGTGCATTGATGGGCATTGCCTCTGCTGCTCTCACTGGGACCCCCTCACACAGCTGCACTGAGGCAGAAGGCAGCTGAGCTGAGAGGTGCACGGTGATGTCACTCAAGTGGCTCCAGCTGGGACGTCTCAGTCCCCTCCACGTGGCCTCTCACCATCTGGCAGCTTAGATCAGCTTCTTCAGGCAGCGTTCAAAGAAGAGGCAAAGGCAAGGCTGCAGGGATCCTAAGGCGTAGCCTGTGGGACAGAGCAGCCCCGGGTCTCGGGGGTGAGGCGACTCCCCTCTTCATAGGAGGAACTGCACCTTGTGGTCAGGTGTTCCTCCGTCCGTGCCACCAGCTGTGGAAGCTTCAGAGTTAGCATTCTCGAGAGTCAGGGTAGCCCCAGAGCTGTGCTCCTCCCGGTGGGAATCCTGTTCAGCTAGTTGGGGGACGCCGGTAGGAGGCAGATGCAGTCAGTGGTTTCCTGTCCTCTGCGTCACTGTGTTCCCTGGAAGTCGACACGAGGGGTGTTGTCTCCAGCACTTCAGCTGTACGGAGGAAAAGACAAGATTTGGGAGGTCCCGCAGGAGATGTGCTCGGGTTAAACCTTAGGGCGGGTGTCACTGTTCTGTTGGTGCTTATTTGAAGGTTGCTCGATATCCATTCTCTGGTCTCCTACAGGGAA